AATATTCCGTAGATAATAATCATTTTTCTTGTAGTGAACAAAGATACCCTTGCAAGAGTTTGATTTAACTAATCAATGAGCTTGTATTCACTTTGTCGAATAAACTTAAGAAATTCTGAGACTTCTTCATCCGACACTTCCTTTTTCTTTTCATCCATGACTTTTTTATCGTCCCTCCTCTTAACACTCGTAACTCCATCATTGACGATTGTATTTTCCTTTTTCTCATAATTTTTTGTCAAGTTTCCTGCTCTCAACTCTTCTGGAGTATAGACTCTAGCACTATGGTTCATTCCACCTACCCCGGCGATATTTGTTACGTTGGTTCCTATAGTGTCAATGCCTTCTTTTTGTTGGGCATTCATGTAGTCACTCTCTACCTTCGCATCGTAACGCCATGGAACCGCCTTAGTGTCCTTGTAATGAAAAGGAGCTGGAATTTGCACAACAAGTGGCTTAAGGGTACTAGGTGTTGATGCGAAAGTGTTTTTGGTGAAGGTGATTACCAATGGTCTTGGAGTAGACATATTGGACTTCTCGTCTGATTGAATCATCAATACATCCTCTTTTGTTCGCACCTGGCTCACCTGAACCAAGTTTGAGTTAATCATGCCTTGTAATATTTGCTTGAACTTGCCACATTCCTCAATAAAATGTGCAGCTGTAGGGTGGAGATCGCACACTCCTACTTCGCGAGACTCTCCCTTAATCATCCCAAATTTGCACAATTATGAAAAAATGAATCTCATAGGGGTTTGGATCTTCTTTATTTCTGTCACTTGTGGAGTACATTCTTCTTCAATAGCATTAACCGATGAAGTCCCATGACCTAGAAGTGGATTGCTTCTTACATTCGGCTCGCTTTCCTTAAAGCTTAATAATCTCGCATCTATCAAGTCTTGTACCTTATGTTTCAAACCCCAACATTTCTCAGTTGAATGGCCTATCACTCCAGCATGATATTCATTTGGCATTTGAATCATAACCTCTTGGATATGGAGGTTGGACAGACTTTTTAGGAAAAGGCACAATTAGAGCATTTTGAACCAGATGTGGTAGCCGGTCAGTGTAAGTCATAGGGATCGGAGCTAGAGTCCTTGGTTGATTGTTACCCCTTCTTTGAGCATTATTCACCATGGGAGGTGAAATTGCTGATTGATTTACTTGGGGTACTAAAAATTGTGGTGGCATTGTAGGTGGTCGATAAGGCATTATGGATGGATAAGGTTGTGGGTATGGTGGCAAAGAAACTGCTGCTATTTATGGGTTATACATATATCGGGGTCTATAATTGGGTACGAAAGAAATAGGATTGTAGTTGGTCTGACTAGTGCTATCATCACTGCGTTCGTTTCACCTCCTTTCCTCTTATTTGTGGTTTCTAAGGGTTTCTTGATGGTTGTGGATCCTGTTGTCATGTGGGCAATCTTCCCACTCCTAACTCCCATCTCAACCCTGTCTCCAATGATGACCAAATCTAAAAAATTTGATGATACATTTCCAATCATCTTGTCATAAAAGGGTGATTGGAGTGTATCAATGAACATCGTGACCATCTCTTTTTCCAATAATGGAGGTTGTACCTGAGCAGCTACCCCTCTCCATCATTGGGCATATTCTTTGAAGGTCTCATTCTCTTTCTTCATCATATTTTGTAACTGTGTGCGATCTGGGGTCATGTCCATAATGTACTTGTACTATTTTAAGGAATCCTCTGCCAAGTCTTTCCATGTGCGCACTCTTCTTCGCTCCAGGTTCATGTACAAACTTAGCGCTGCCCCAATAAGGATTTCTTGGAAAAAGTGAATTAACAGTTTGTCATCATGAGCGCAGGAAGCCTTCTGTCGACAATACATAGTGAGATGATTCCTTGGGCATGTATCCCCCTTGTATTTATCAAATTCTGGAACTTTAAACTTGGAAGGAATTACAACATCATGAACTAGACACAGATCTGCAGCATTGAAACCATAATTGTCAAATCCCTCTATGGCTCTTAATCTGTCTTCCAAAAATTAAAGTTTATCATCATGAGGAATATCTTCCGAATGACGATGGTGTACAATAATAGTTGGCGTAGGAACTACCCCTTGGTGATTAGGAGGCCCTTCACCATGAATTACATTAGGTGGTGCATACATATGGGTAGATGGTGCATGAGAAAACGGGTGGGTTGGAATTTGTGGATCATTGACTTCAAGGGTTAGGTTTTGGGTTTGTGTTTGTTTTGGTGGGTTTAAGGTGGAGGTAGATGGATTACCCTCAAGAATATTAGCCACAGGTGGCGTGTGTCCTGGAGGTAAGCCATATGGAGGTAATGGGATTTGGCCTTGAAGGTTTGAAGTGGAAACATAATGGTTATTTTCTGAGGTCGTTAGGATGATAGGTGGTGTGTACCCTTGAACACTCGGGTTGGGTTGCGTGCATGGAGTAAACCCAGGAGGGTAATCAGGTGACTCATGAGGCTGTTTAGACGACTCTCCATTTGCCCCTTTAGATTCCATTGACTACAACAAGTCCAAAATCTTTCCCATTTGTTCCTTCAACTAATTTACATCTTCTCTCATCTCCTCATGCTGTTGCTCCAAGTCGTCTACCATCCCTTCCATGATTTTGGTCTATGCTCGTGTCCCGTAAGGGTGTCGAAGGGATGCTTTCTTTTCCTTAATAGTTGTTTTCTTTTTCAATTTTACAACTGTGTAAGAAAATCTGATGAGTATGTGGTGTTATGAAAATGTAATTATGCATCATGTATGTGCAAATGCTAAATTGTTAGAGAGCCATAAATCGCATGACTTGGGTGGAATCATCTTTCTTTAATTGTCTCTTAGATCGTCATGTTCTAGGCACTAGGTCATGGAATCAGTGGATCTTTCTGATCATTGTCAATTAAACTTTTCCTTTAGAACGTCACATTCTAAGTACTAAGCGTAATATGAAACGTGTAGTTTTCGCATGAACGTCCTCTCTTAGCTTTCATTTTTAGAGTGTAGCATTACGACGAATAAGGAAGAGATATCAACGTAGAAACTGGCAAATTTCTTCATTAATAATAATAGTGCAATACATCAGGTGAAGCAATACATCATGATAACTCAGAGATAAAAGTACAAATCATTCACCGCTAATAGCTATCTCTCTCATCTTAGTTATCATATCACTACAGTGTTCAAGGAGGTCATAAATTTATTTGGGAGTGGAATGTGGGATCGCCATTCCTTCAGCTCGTTGTAGCAGGTGAGAGGTGTCATTGAACATGTTTTTAACTTGCTGAACTCGATTCACAAGATTATATGCCCAAATTCTTCGATTTTCTTCATGTATTCCAATGACATCCCTCAATTGCCTTACTTCTTCCTGTAGGCCCATAATTAACTTGATGATTTTTCTCCCCTAATGTGGCTTGATAGTCCATATTCAAATTGAAATTTAGTCTTTTTTTTGCCATGAACTCTGCTTTCGTACTCAGCCACTACCCTTTTGAGTTGTTGCTTCAAATCCTCAAGTTGTTTTTGTGTCAATCCCTCAACTTTTTTGGATGTTTCCCATGCCTTTTTCCATCGTTCACCATCAACCCTAGCTTGGTCACGTTCACCTCTCTGCATCTTTAACTCTATGGAAGCAGCCTTTAAACAACTGTGGGTGTTCAACTTACCTTCTTCTTTAATTCTTGCTCGCTTATTGGATAGTTCAACATGTTGTCGTGCTTGGGAAATTTCTCTTTGCGTTGCTTGATACTTTTGGCGTGCCTGTATTAATTCCTTCTTCATATCTTCTTTTTCTTTCTCAGATTTGGCTAACTCTTCTTTAAGTTTTCGATCTCCTCCAGACTCATGGGTTCTTGAATTGGTGTTTCTTCAATAATTAGAATGGGACCCCGAAATGGTAACTTGACATGTTGGACCCACATTACAATTTCTTTTTCCCACATTACAACTTGACACTGTTGATAACTCCCCTCCATATTACAATTTCTTTTTCCCAATTCTCTCCCTTTCTTGATCACCCTGTCCCAAGAATGTCTAATCTTGTTAAGCAAGTCCAACTCCTTAGTCATATCATAAACCATGAAAGGAGTAATCGAATCCTCAACCAGTGGACTTCTAATCGGATAACAGAGTTGCCTTATCGCAAGAGCGGGGTTGTAGTTTACGCATCCCTTAGTACCCATGAGTGGTACGTTCAGGAAATCTCCACATTGACAAACCACTTCATCAATGTTTTGCTCTCGCGAGTACCAAGAGATGGTCTTTTCACTAAGATTGGTTATGTTGTGATCCCATTCACTCTTATTTTTAATCTCAATTTGACCTCCTCTCTTGAACATGTAAGATGTGAACCACAAGTATAGTATAGGCAGACAACACAAAATCATCCCACCCCTTCTCTCATGGCACAAGGTAAGGGAATGATATTTATCAACAAGGATGGTCGGTACGTGACTCTTTCTTTCATGTTTGAAGGCCAAGAAGACGTCGATGGCAGCAAAGTCAATGAAGTTTTCAACATTTGGGAATAAGACAATCCCATAAATGATGAGGGCGAACACATCCATGAAGGCGTCCCATTTCTCACTCTGTGCTAAGTTCAACGCACACCGCTCAAGGTTAATTCTCGAGAAACCTTCAATCCCTCCCTTTATCTCTTTCTTGCTTGCTAGTTCTCTGGCATCAATCCCTAAGGATGTGGCAACTTTGGTTAGTGAAGGATAATGTCCCATGTACATATAAGGCATTTTATTTCCTAAGCAAATTCCCAATATCTGTTCGAATTCCTCAAGCAATGGTGCCAGTTAAGAATATTGAAAGAGAAAGGACCTCAAAAGAGGGTCACAGAATTGGGCTAGGGCGATTCTTCCATAACAAACAACAAAAGTTTGCCGCTAACCGCCTTTTAACATGTTACTGAGAGTCTTCAAACTACTCAAATCCGTTTGTATGACCTTTAACTTCAAAGTCTTCCTTAAACTTTATTACATGACTTCTCGAAAGGTGTTCGTAGCGACTTAAGTCTTTATGACTCTCCAACAACCTGGAAATGAATGCAACATGCTATTGATGAATTTATCTGTTTCATTTTATATGATTCTTTTCAAAATGCATGATATGATGTAAAATTTTATTTTTTCAATTTTTTTCATGAAATGAAATGCATGATACTTGTTATGGAATGGAATAAAATTTTCTCTCTGCTTTTTTTTTTTTTGCATCATTCAAACATAGAGGTAGAATATTGCTCCTGTGATACTTAATAAGGGCATCCCTAAATTGAAAAATCTATGGACTACTAAAATGTGTTCCTCTCAAAAGGGTGGGACTATAGTTCTAAAACAGGTTCCTAGAGTCAATAACCCTTCTTAGGATATTAGTCACAATAATAGGTAAACTATTAGAGGTGATAATATCGTTGAAAGGATCAAACTCTAGGTGAGGCCTTCATAATAACCAAACAAGATGTACATCAAGAAGGTTACCACTACTCAGCCTCTTACTTATCATAAGTTGCACTCAAGTCCGGGCATAGGACCCCACTCATAAACATGTGTGTGAAGTTGTGCAAGTGAAATGTGTGAAGGGAGCAACCCTACACTACCCAATCTACAAAACACAACACATATGATATAAAAATAAAATTCTTCTATCCTAAAGTTCAAATTACACAACACATATTTATATAATTCATGCAAATAAGACAAACAACAAATAAGGGACATAAATAAAAAAAATAAAATAAAAGAGATAAACATTATTAATTAGTTTAACTAATTATTATAGGCTTGACTCTCAAAAATAGTTCCCAGTGGAGCCGCCATCTGTTGCAACCGAAATCGCAACGGGACGACGGAAAATAAATTAAAAAATAGAGAGTCGCCACCAATGTTATTTTTTACGGAAAAACATTGGAAAAATCATAAAATAGAAAATAGTCTACGAAAATCAGATTTTTGAGTTCGGGAGTCGATTACGTGTGAGGAAGGTACTAGCACCTCACAATGTTCGTCCTAAGACGATTACCTTTAATTAATTAAACAAATTATTTATGATTTATAAAATATTTATCTCACTAAAATGATCAAATATATTTTATTTAACTATTTTAACTAATGCATTAAAATAAAGGTTAAAATTATTAGTGTTATATAAAAAGGAAGATAATATTTTTTTTTTGCTCGACAAGATTTATTTCTTGCTCCTACGTATCTCCATGTGTAATGAAGAATCAGAGTCACGTAGTTCTTTGGTAGAAAATATTTGTGTGTTGATATTTTTTAATTAAATTTTATTTTTGTTAAATAGAAGATTCTTGAACTGTCTCAGCTCATTCACCCTAAAAAACATAAAATTGACTAAGGTGTACACCAAAGTCAATTCAATAAAATTTTAATTATAATTATTGTTATAGATACTATTATTTTAAAAGATTTTTTGGTTGGACATTTTGTTTTTGGAGAAAAAATTTAAAGATATCAAGTTGTCACAACTTGTATCTTAAATTCAAAGGTTAAAAAGATGTCACATCTAATTAACCATTCCTCCAATAAAATTTTTTATATAATAATTTCGAATATTTATGTTGAATATTGTTGTAATATTTTGATATTTAATTATACATTTTTGAATAAAAAAAAACTTTAAGATAATAAGTTGTCACAACTTACATCCTTAAGTTTTAGGATTAAAAGAATGTCATATTCAAATAGTCTCCCTTTTGATAGATATAATTAATACTAATATTGATAAGAGAATATCACAGTAATTATTATTATTATTGTTGTTGTTTAAATAGATTAAAAAATTATGTAAATATCTAACACATTTGTATAAAGAAATAACTTAATCAAATAAGATCAATTAAGCTAATTTTGCTAAAACAAGAAACAAATACCATCATCTAATATTAAGGGAATGCCACATAAAAATAATTTTTTTTTAGAAGATAGATATTAATAATATTAATATTGATAAAAAGTATTATTATCATTATTATTATAGTAACTATTATTATTATTATTATTATTATTATTATTATTATTATTATTAAGGATACGTAATAACCTAATATAAAATTACGTAAGAATCTATTATATATATTAATTACGTATAGTACTTGTTATATACATGTATATAATATTATTATTATTATTATAATTATAAAATATATTATTTTAATAAAATATATTATTTGATTACTCTTTTAAAAAAAAAAAAAAGTTAGTTAATTGTATGTTAAATGGGCTTAACCCATATGCTGGACCAAAATAATTAATTAATTGTTTGTTGAATTAATGGGATTAACCCATATGCTGGCCCAAAATGGAAAGAAAAAAAAAGGGAATCAAATGGCACTTGACTATTTCACTAGAATCCTAAAAATAGAAAAGGGTGAGGGGAGTGGGGGAGGCTCTGCTAGGGTTTTGCGCCCAGCCTCCCTCCACGGACGTTGACGGCACGGCGGACGCCGCCATGGCGTCGTCGCAGCTAAGGTGGTTGGCGGTGATGCGAAGGGAAGGAGAAGACGGCTAAAGAGAGGAACAGAGGATGGCAAAAGGTTATGGCCGCCACCGGAAGTCGTTTTCGATGGTGGTGCGCGGTGATGTTATGACGGTTCGTCTGTGTGGTGACTTCTCGTAAAGGCACAACAAGGGTGAGAGGAAGACGATAAAGGAGTGGAATCGCCGCCACCGGAAATCGTCTCCAGCGATGGCGCACAGCGGCGTTCAAAGGAACCACCGTCTAGTCGCGTTTCCTGGTATATTTCACTCACTGTTTATTTTATTTTATTTTTATTTTTTCATTACGGCTGGATTTTTACTTGCTGGGCAAAAAACCCTTAACTGAGGGTTTCAATTGATTCAAAGGGGAAGGGATTGATTCACAGTAAGACTAAATATTGAGTTGCATACGTATTATCTTCAAAAGAAAGAGAAAAAAAATGACCCTAGATAGAAAAAGATTGGAGAAAATATTGATACCCCAAATTTGATTGCACGTTGCTTCTTATTCTGCTTCCTTGTTCTACTTGCTTCTTGCTTGAGCTCTCTCTCTTGATCCTTGGTTCTCTCTATTTTTAAAATTTTCTCTACCCCCTTTTGTTAATGTTCTGTTCTATTATATATAGACTCACTATTGTTTTTAATTGTTTTTAGGCAGTTGGTCCAAGCTCATGCTTTTGGAAGCATGTATGGAAGAAGCATGCTCTTGGGGACATGTTGGTGACTAGGGCAAAGGAGCTCAGCAAGCTTGTTGGAGGAGAAATAACCGTACAGAAAAGTGTAGGATGATAGAGATTTTGGGTGCAGAGGAAAAGATTGTTTTGTTATTTTCTTGTCTTTTCTGATTTTTTTTTATTATTTTATTATTTATTATTTATGCTTATTGTTTGTATTTTTTGAGTTTAAATCTAGTTTGTAAATTAACATAATCCGTTGAAAAAAAGGAATATCCGTTGGAAATTCTCTATTTTCGACAGATTTCCAACGAATGAAAATCCGTCGAAAAAAGGGGTATCGAAAAAAAAAATACGTTGGAAATTTTCGACGGATATATCCGTCGTATATCCGTAAAAAATTATTTAAAAATCTTTATATGATTCCAACGGATAAATTCGTCGAAATCTTTTTGTTTAATTTTAATAAATTTATTAATGTTACAACTCTCATATTTGGCCTCTCAAGGGTTCTATTTCATGACATTTTACTTTTTAGCGTGTTTTATCCTTACTTGTATAATTTCTAGGAAGCTTCTCAAAGGTCACTCATTCTTATATTACTCCAAGTTTAGCACGCTTAACTGTGGAGTTTTGATGAGATAAACTACCAAAATGTATATGCATGTTGTCAGTATAACTTGTACAAATAAATTCATTTAAGTCATCATCAACTATACAATCTCATATTTGTACTATCTTTGGATCCTTCTCATTCTAGTGTGTCCGGACTGTTATAAAAATATAATAATATATAATAATTATATTACGAAGAATAATAATAATAATATATTTAATTAATCTTTATTTATATATACTTACTTTTATAATTAACAATCAACTTATTTCTATTTAAAATTATAAATATTTATTTATTACATACTTATAAATTAAATTTTAACATTTTAAATAAATTACTAATTAATTGAATATATTTATTTATCTGAAATCAATGATATAAAATTCAAAAAATATATTTATCTTTATTTTATTTTCTAATTATCAACCATTAATAAAATACTAACTTAAAATCTTATCTAATTATATCATAATATTTTCATATCAAATTTAAAACCAGATATTAATTATATAAAAATATCAAGATCATATAGTAAATTTTCAATAAGATTCTAGTTAAATAATTTAAAATAATTAATATTTTAATTATATTGTTAATTAGCAAATAATTTATTCCAAAACTAATTAATTTTTTTTCTATATTAATTATTAGTAAAATTTAATAACTTTTAATTTAATAATTTGAATCGATGAAATTTAACACACACCATGAGTTATTAAGCGGAATAACTTTACTAAGAGTTATTTTGTAAGTTATTTGATTCCTCCTCCTCTCTCTCTATCTCTCTATATATATAGAGAGAGAGAGGGGAGAGGAGGGTTATACTAATACGGGTGTAACTTTTACTAAGTATTACACACCGCTCAATAACTTTATATTAAATGTGAATTTTGTAAATTCAACCGTTAGATCAAACGTTCATATCACTTTATATG